GAGGCCATCGCTAGTAGGGTGGAGGCCATTGCTATTTGGGTGGAGGCCATGGCTATTAGGGTGGAGGCCATCGCTATTGGGGTGGAGGCCATCGTAAGTGCCTCTTCCTGGTACTGCAGGAGGGAGGCTCATGAAAAAGAGTCATCGGTTCCATACCCTCGGACTGGTGACCATGCACTGGCCACACTGGTCTTTGGTTTTACACCCGTTTTCAATTGTCTTCCAGAACACCAAGCATCAAGAGCCCACCAAGCATCATTCGTCTTCGGGCATTCTCCTTGCTGGTTCGAAAGGACGAAGAGACGAAGGCGAAAAGGCGAAAAGGCGAAACCGGTCGCCGGGGTCCGAAACGAACACAGAACTGTCGTCCAGAAGCTGCTAACGTGTTACACCGTCCACGAACGAGAAGGCTCGGTCCAGGGGTTCTGCCGTTCGTCTCTCTGAGACTCGGGTTTTTCAGACGCGAAAACCCGGACACCAAGAATCGAATGATGTCAAACATTAAAGCTTCTTGTTACTACTAGTAAGGCACCTGTTACTACTAGCTTGGCACTTGTTACTAGTAGCGATTTTAAAAATTCATACTCAACAAGTTACATGCTAACTCGTTGTGTGGGTGCTCTTTCAAAGAGCTTTTTCAGTGATGAGGGGTCCATACTCGAACAACACGCCAGACACACTAACACTCGAATGCTAGTACCACAAAATTCCACTGGTATTCTTTGCATGGCCTGGGGACATGCAGCTCCACCGTCGACCCAGCAAGGCCCCGGCGGCACGCGCTTGAAGCAGTTGCAAAGCCGCGCCGATCGAGCCTGGCCCCCCAGTCTTTGAAGAGTGCTGTTCCCTCTTTTGGCGAACAACTATGAACAAATGATCCCTTTCACTTTCGTTCCGCCAGGTGTCAGCTAGTGACTCGACGTGTTTACAAATGATCCAAGCGAAAACAAAAATTGGATAGACCTGGATAGCTCTTCAGCAGAGCGAGCCGCGCCACATCAGTCGGACTTGTGGGGTCGAGCGACGCTCCGTTTGGTATTGGCTGGTGGCAAAAAGGGTTGGAAAATGCATTGACCAGGTCTTGTGTACTCCAATGGAATTGGTGAACTCGGGTTGCTTAGAAACTTGAGAACCCCACAAACATGAACGCTACTAGGAGCAAAGGGCATCGCTACTAGGAGCAAGGACGCTACTAGGGGCTCCTTGCATCGCTACTAGGAGCAAGGGTTCAACTGCATCCCACATGTGTTGTTGTGTCGAAATGGCAAGAACCCGTCCACAGGTGAAAAGCGTTTGGACAGCGGGCTCGCCGAGACTGACACCCGACCACTTCCGTGAACGGAGATCGGACGGATGAAAGCGCAATTTCGCTCGGTGGAGCAGGGCACAAGCGTTTCTTTTCTTTAGCCCGTGGCCCTGCCTCCTTAATTAAGTAGGTATAGGTGTCTACTCAAACAAGTAAGGGAGAAGTTCGCTCCTAGCTACTCAAGCTACTACACATGGACGCAGGAAAGTTCACGCGTCTAATGATTTGGTTCCTAGATGTTTATGGGGCTGCACGTCCGGGCGGTGTGGATGTTCCTTTAGTCCAAAGCAAGCAGCATCCAACCTACTAGCGATGGCCTCCAACCTAAGAGCGATGCTCCAACCTACTAGCGATGGCCTCCAACCTGCTAGCGATGGCCTCGAACCCAAGAGCGATGACCTTCAACCTAAGAGGGATGGCCTCCAACCTACTAGCGATGGCCTCCAACCTACTAGCAATGGCCTTCAACCTAAGAGGGATGGCCTCCAACCTACTAGCGATGGCCTCGAACCCAAGAGCGATGG